AAAAACTGCAGACAAGAGAGTTATGAAATAAACCACCATCTAACTGTCACAGAGGCTAAGGATGAGCTCTTGGGGATGATTTGGATAAATGAGGTAGCCATACATTCCCTGCATAGCTAAAATCAGAGTATTTTGCACCATTTGCTCGTCTTACAAATAGGTGGATTAACCACTAGACTAAGGCTAAGATATTCGTGGTTTTTTACATTTTAAAGAGAGCTTTTGCAACAAAGCATCAAACACATATCTACAGAATGGCATTCTCTTAATGTCAGCTGTTAGCTAAACAGAGGTGTTAAGGCTCCCAGCCTTCATTGGTGGAATACCATAAGCAGACAACGTATCTTTTGATTCTTAACCCAATAATTTTCTCATAAACTGGTTTGAAGCAGAACAAATGTTTAGCTTCAACCAAAACCAGCCTGCAACAAGCCAGTTTCTGCTTGTTTTACCACAAACTAAAGGAGATAAAGACAGCAGGCATTTAATCTCCAGCTACTAACAGTAGCCAAAGAAAAAGAGAAGAGTCAATATATAATATTATTATTTTGATGGGAGATGTTAAATATTAATTGACCTGATGCTAAAAGTGATGAGAACTATTGGCTTTTGAGGCCAAATTAAAACTATGAAAAACCTTTTGATCTGATCCACAGCAACTTTCCTGAATTTAAACTGCAGGCCCTGTTAGGTTGGATTTCTTGAAATACGTTTGTGCTTGATTTCTTTTTCTGGCCTATTTCTAGTTAACTAGAAAGTTTCTAGTCAACTTTAATGATTTCTTGATGTATTTCTATCTTTGGCCACAATTTTGCTATTCTTAGATGCACAGCAATGCTAATATTGTTGACTGCATCTCACACTTTATCTATTATCCCTCATTTTCCTTAATATATATGGTTGGTCTCCTTTCATTAGAACAAAAAAGGGGGTTTTAAAACAAGATAACAGCATTAAACCTGAAGGGAAAGGAGCTCAACACAACTTAAATGATCTGCATTATGTGCAGCAAGATAATTTCATCATACATGTTGTTTTGAATTAGGATTATGTGGTAAAATTGGACACCTAAGATACAAAAGAAATTCAACCAATCCTCTTCACAGTTTCTCTCATACATGAACCCACTGTGGCAGGTACTATTGCCATTGACCCATTCCTTTTTTTCAAACAAAAAAATACTCCTGGATCAAGGCTACTCTGATCCATATGTGTTTGCTCAAACCCTCACTCAGTTGTGGCAGATGGCGGCTCAAACTGAGCCTGGTTCTATTAGCGGTTTCATCCTGTTATATAGGAGTTTTCCTCTCAACTGCACGTAGCTTTCTACTATTGTTGCATGCTCATTCAGGGGGACTAAACTCTACATAGCAAGGTAGAAAACTGTCAAACCTATTCAGTCTGTATAAGTGAAATATTGTTCTCACAAAGCAATCTATGTCAATTAGCTTTTTTTAAAAGAGTTCCTTATAAATGTGACATCATCAGGCAAATAGTGACATGGACCTGAACTTCTTTGGAGATTATATTTATAGTTTGTATTTATTAGGTTGGAAGAAATATCAAAAAAAGAGAAAACCATTTGGAGGTCTTCAAAACATTTTTGTTTCAGGCAACTGCCTTATAAGACCTTGCTAAACTATTTCCATTGAAAACTGAAACACTCTCTGAGGGGTCTAAAAGATTGTGTGCCTTGATGGGTCATGGTCTGCAAAAGACGTGTCATCCAATAGTAACGTTGCTCTGAAGACATTTTTTTTTCCTGATCAATGTGTGCATAGGTTCATCGGCACTTTTGTGAAATAGATGAGCTGAAGATCTATAGTAACAGTGGTTTGCATCTTTTATGACGAAAGTTCCAAGGTTCCAATTTTGTTTTGGCTATTATTTGTTTACAACTTAAAATGCTAAGTTAACTTTCAACTTTGTGCAGATATTTCTTCTTTGGGAAAAATGTTTAACCTGGAAGAAACGTGAGGAAGCGGTGGCCTAGTAGTTCTGAGTTCAATGCCCATAGCATGCAGCCTGCCTCCCTGAGCAAGGCCCTTAACCCCAGAATGCTCCCCAGCAGCCCTCTGCTCCCCAAGGGGAGGGATTACATGCGGAAGTTCTTAATTGTTATATCAATACAGCTCTAAAAAAGGAAGAAAAGAAAAGACAGAAGATAAGAAAGAAAGGTTAGGAGAAAAGGAGAGGCAAAGCTATGTATAAATGAAATAAATAAGGTCAAAGAAAGAACATTAAATAGTATATGGAAAAGAAGAAGAGAATGAAGAGAATATCTAAAAAGGGAAAACATTGTTCTTATGTAAAGCCCTTTGTGCATGAAGAGAAGGCTATAAATAAAGACTTTTTGATTTAAATAATGTGTATCTAAAGTCCAGATCTGTTCCTCTTCCATTTTTAACAATTGTTATCTAGACCTGGAAAATATCAAAACCATCTTCCAGAATTTATAGACTGTCGTATTTAGAACCTTTCTTGGATGGTGATTTTTCACAAGCTATTGTATAAAGTCTGCTTTAATCACAATGTGTTCACATGCAACAGAACATACTGAGGATTTTCCTTCACTATATTTAGTGCATTACAATGGCAAAGATTAGAATGTGCATTAATCTTGCAATGATTGAAATCATGGTGACTTTGAATGAACTACCAGTAAACCTTTGGGTTTTCTGAAAAATCAATCTAAAAATCAGTCACTCCTACTGTTAATAGTAATTATCAGTAATTATCAGCCGACCTACGATCTCTCTGACATTTTGTTGTTTTGGAGCTTTCATATCAGACCCTCACTCTTTGCCTGCTAATTTAGAGTACTCATTGATATCAAAATCAAGCATTTAAAGTCTCATCTTATTTATTCTGGTTTTCAAAAAATGTCAGCTCTGTCATGATGGGTTCACTAAAAGCGACCCAAGAATGCAGAACACCACTGACGGACTCAGGGATGAAAGTTTAACAAGTTTATTGATGCATAAGCACACAGAATATACTGGTTCAGGTTCGGGGCCTGGATACTGGTTCACCGGAGTCTGCGTGAGAGACAGTTCAGTTAGCGTTGCCAACAGAGGTTTGATTTCCTGAAGTTTACTGATTGTACCTTGAGGGTTTTTGAGGTTAGCTTTGGGAGGGTCTCTGTTGGATCTGGAGAAGAGTTCATCAGCAGAGTCTGTTTGCTGCTTCAGCGTCTCACGTCCAATATGAACAGACCTTGGTTTAGGGTTTCCCAGCTCTAGTCCAGAGCTGCTTAGAAGTTCTCTGTGATTCTTCAGGTTTGGCTCAGAGGGTCGGCTCGGCAGGTTAGCTCTTCCTGAGCTTTCACAGAGGAGGCACAGGTTTCCTGGAAGACAGAGACAAGGGTTAGAATCCAAGCTGGATTCAAAATTCATAGAGTAACACTGAGGATCTAGGCTTAAGCACTGACCAACTGGAACAACACTGCGGCGTTGAGGCAAGGTCTGAAGACAGCTTAAGTAGTGGATCCTCTGATGATCTTGATGAGCTGCAGCTGTGCAGGAGGCTCCCTCAGAGGATCCACGGCGGACTCTGCTGGAGAAAGGTGGAATTTCTCCAGCTCCCAACAGTACCCCCCCCTCAACGACCGCCCCTTGGCGGTCCGGAAGAGGTTGATGGGCAGGAACGCTCGTACTCCTCGATAAGGGCAGGATTGAGGATGTACGAGCCCGGAACCCACTGGCGATCCTCCGGTCCGTAGCCCTCCCAGTCGACGAGGTACTGCCATCCGCGGCCTCGTCGACGGGAGTCCACAATGCGACGGACAGTGAAGGCCGGATGACCATCGACCTCCAGGGCGGGTGGTGGGGAGTCGGACGGTGGGCACAGAGGGCTCGAAGAGACAGGCTTGACTTGGGACACGTGGAAGGTGGGGTGGATTCGGAGGGACTGAGGTAGTTGGAGACGGACAGCTGAGGGGTTGATGACTCGAGTGATCTTGTAGGGCCCGATGAACCTAGGAGAGAGCTTTCGAGACATCCCCTTGAGGGGAATGTCTCGAGTGGACAGCCATACCTCCTGGCCCTCAGTGTACTCGGGGGCGGGGCGTCTCCTGGCGTCGGCGAAGCGTTTACTGGACTCTGTTGACCGGTTGAGGGTGGCGATGGTTTCTCTCCAGATTCTTTGGCAACGGCGGATGTGTTGGTTTACGGACTGGACCGAAATCTCTCTCTCGTCTGTGGGGAAAAGAGGTGGTTGATAGCCGAGACTAACCTGGAACGGGGATTGTCTGGTGGATGCAGATCTGAGGGAGTTATGTGCGTATTCTATCCAAGGGAGAAATTGGCTCCAGTCCACGGGATTGTTTGAAGTGAGGCAGCGAAGGGTTGATTCCAAATGCTGGTTCATTCTCTCAGTCTGACCATTAGAGGTGAGCAGTGTTGGGACTAACGCGTTACAAAGTAACGCGTTACTGTAACGGCGGTACTTTTTTCAGTAACTAGTACGCTAACGCGTTAGTTTTTAAATTCAGTAACTCCGTTAACGTTACTACATGATGCGTTACTGCGTTATTTTATAGTCTCGGGATCAGTTAGAGACTTAAAGCTGCAGTAAAGTATTGTCTTCCTGTGTTAGAGAGAGGGAGACAGGAAGGAAACATGCTGAGGGCGTGTTTGTGTTTATCAACGCTGGTCATCATGGCGGCTGCTGCAGAGCCCAAGTCCAGTTTCCTCACTTGGAAATATTCTCATTACTTTACTTTTGTCGGGAAAAAAGAAAGGAACATTTTAGTTAAATGTAATTTGTGCCTTGGATCAAAGATTTTATCTACAGCCCAGAACAGCAACTCTAATCTTTGGAAACACCTACAAAAGCAACATGCTGCTACGAAGCTAGAAGCTAGCGGCACACAAACAGGCTCACTATCCGATGCCACTTCACCTCCTCCACCACCTAAGCAGCAGCGCCTGGATTTCAACCGTGGCACTGTTAGCCAGGATAAAATTGATAAAGCCATTGCAAGATATGTTGTCGAAGACATGCAGGCTATTTCTACAGTGGAGTCACCCGCCTTCAGGCGACTAGTTAGTATGATACCGGGCGCGACACGGCAGATGGGACGGAAAACATTCTCTAAGTACCTGGAGAGAGAATATGCAAAAATGGAAAGCGAGCTAAAGAAAACTTTTGAGGGACTGAACTACATCTCCACTACTGCAGACATCTGGTCTGCCCACAACAGGAGCTTCATGGGAATAACCTCTCACTGGATAAACCCCACCACTTTACAACGTCAGAAAGCTGCGTTAGCCTGCAAACGGATAAAGGGTAGGCACACCTATGATCTGATTGCTGGTGAGATTGATCACATTCACTCTTTGTATGGAGTGTCAACAAAAGTTACTTCCACCGTTACAGATAACGGCTCTAATTTTGTGAAGGCTTTTGCCATGTATCAACCGGAATCGTTCTCTGACGACGATGATGAAGATCATGATGATGATGATGATGTTACCTTTACCGATGTTGCAGAAGTTCTCAACACCGCAGCAGAGGAAGGGATTGTTTTACCTCCACACCAGCGGTGTGCGTCTCACACGCTTAACTTAATTTCATGTAGTGATGTAGAGAAGTGGCTTGTTTCAAACCCTGGGACTAAGGCACTGTACAGAAGCTCGGTCGCTAAATGCACTGCACTGTGGAACAAGGCAAACAGGTCCACTCTGGCTGCAGAGGTCGTGAGCGACGTCGTCAATAAAAAGCTGCTTGTGCCATGCACCACAAGGTGGAATTCATTTTATGAAGCTGTTGCCAGAATTGTGGAAATTCCTATGACTGACTTGAGTGCCATCGCTGATCGTTTACAGCTGAAGTCTATCAGTGACAGGGAACTTAATTTTTTGAAGGAGTATTGTGTCACAATGAAGCCACTCACAGTTGCTCTGGACATCCTGCAAGGAGAGGAGAACTGTTACTTTGGCACTCTCCTGCCAACTCTCGAGACACTGATGTCAAAGATCCTGGAGGTGAAAGACAGTCTGACTGTGGCAACGGGCCTACCTGAAGCCATAGTTCAGGTAAGAAATAATCAACACTTTTGTATTAATTAGCTGGTTCACCCTTATGATTGTACAGAAAGACTGTATGTAATTAATGGACCACCACTCATTATTCTAAACATACAGTAGTAGATGTAATTAATAATTTTAGTTGAGTGAGCATTATAGCCAAAGAAATTGGTTGAAATATGCAAAAAAAAAAAACTTTCAATGTATTCCATTTAATGTCATAAATGATAAGTCTTGAGCATATTGATAAACTGATATTTATAAATTGTACAGTAGGGTGAAACAGAAATAAATAGCAATACCTTTTTGGCTAAGTAAAGTTTTATTGACTTAATAACTATACTCTAGTTCAGTATCATAGCTTTTATAGAAATTAATGTACACAACAATAAATAGATAAAAGGGAATCTCACTTATTCTAATGTCTGTGTCACTCTGTGTGTGTGTTTTAAAGGCTATCAAAAGACGATTTGCATCCGTCTTGGAAAGCAACGATGCAATGCTGGCAGCTGTCACTCTTCCCAAATTCAAGTTGCGGTGGGTGAGAGACCAGAGGAAAAAGGAGATGATCAAAGGAATCCTGATAGCAGAGTGTCACAAGTTTTTCCCTGACCCTGAGCAGCAACCTGCCGGGAATCCTGTGTTTCCCACAACTCCACCAGACTCAGGCTCCTCCAAAGACAAAGAGCAGGACTTTTTTTCCTTTGAGGACAGTGATGAAAACTTTGTCACTGTGGAGACTGAGGTAATGTCTTACTTGAAAACCACCGAAACAGGTATGGACATTCTCAAACAATTTCCCACAGTAAAGGAAATTTGTCTGAAGCTAAATGCAGCTACCCCGTCCAGCGCACCTGTGGAGAGACTATTCAGTCTGGGAAGCCTGGTACTATCTCCAAAGAGAAATAGGCTCTCTGACCAAAAATTTGAGAAGCTGCTTCTCATGAGATACAACCAGTGGTTCGAAGACTAAACCTTTAATAAAACATTATTCAGGTCTTTGCCAATAAGCACCTTTTCTGTTTTACATTCTGTTAAATTTCACAACACTTGTTTTATGTTTGCTGCCTGGACTTTAAAGTTAAACTTTAGTGAAAAAGAGTTTCAAGAGTTTTTTTTATATACCTCATAACTATTTCATGCTGAAAGCACTTTAATTTTTGCACTTTGATTCTGGATAATATTTAGCTTGCATTTATGTTTGTCTATACCAACAGTTGATGCTAAGTGAATTTTCATTTTTCCAACTTGATTCTGAATAATACATTCCTATTGTATGCAGTTATTTGTTTCAGAATGCCTTGAGGAAAATATTTATTTTTGTGGTAGCATTGTTATATTATAGATATGAAGGAATAACAGTTATGGTTGTGCTGATCTGATGAAGCCATCATTTTATTTAAGAATTACTTGAGAGAAAAAAGGCTTTTTAGTGAGGCTATGTTCTGTGCCTTCCTTGAGTGAAACCAGGTTTACAGCTATGTTGTGATATGTTGGTATTATGTTAAGACTGTTTGTTACTTATGGTGCTGCTATTTTCTCTATAAATCTTGGCAGACTTGACCCAACTGTGACCTCTAAAGGGCAGATGTAACCTGTAAAGGGCAATTTTGCAGGCAACTGCCTACTATTGTCAGTTTGTTCTGTCCTGAAATAAATTGGCACTTTAAAACATATCTTTGTTGTTTGTATATAGAATTGCTTAGCAGAGTTTCATGATGCAAATGCATGTCAAGTTCTTCAACAGATGGTATTATTCTCCAGTGCAATAACATTTCTGAAATGAAGGCTATAAGGGCATAATGTGAATCTTTAAAAAAAAAAAAGTAACTAAATAGTTACTTTTCACAGTAACGCATTACCTTATGGTGTAAGTAACTGAGTTAGTAACTAAGTTACTTTTGAAATGAAGTAACTAGTAACAGAAAATAGTTACTGCTTTTCAGTAACTAGCACAACACTGGAGGTGAGAGAGGGTTTGCAGCCGAGGGCAGAACAGAAAGCCTTCCAGACCTGGGAAATTAACTGAGGGCCTCTGTCCGAGAGAATCTCTTGGGGAATGCCGTGTAGCCGGAAAACATGCTTGATAAGGAGCTGGGCTGTCTGGAAGGCCGTGGGAAGTTTTCTAAGGGGAATAAGATGGCAGGACTTCGAGAAACGGTCAACAATGGTGAATATGGTGGACATACCTCGAGAGACAGGGAGACCGGTGACAAAATCAATGGCTATATGGGACCAAGGACACGAGGGAACAGGAAGCGGCTGGAGCAGGCCAGAAGGAGGTTGGTGTGAGGCTTTGTTACGGGCACATGTGGGGCAAGCCAACACATACTCCTTGACGTCCCTATGGAGAGTGGGCCACCAGAAGCGTCTTGAGATGAGGGCTACAGTTCTGCTGACTCCTGGATGAGCAGAGAACTTGGCGGCGTGCATCCAATGGATGAGACGGGACCTGACGGAAGATGGAACATAGGTTCGGTTAGTGGGACCGTTACCTGGATCGGGTTCAGTGGCCAGGGCTGAGTTGATGAGGTCAGTTATTTCCCAGTTGACCACCCCCACTGTGCAGGAAGCCGGAAGAACAGGTTCAGGTGTCTCGGGATGATCGACGGAGTAGAGACGAGAGAGAGAATCGGGCTTGACATTTTTGGATCCGGGTCTGTAGGAGATGATGAGATTGAACCGAGAGAAGAAAATTGACCACCTGGATTGGCGAGGATTAGCCTGTTTGGTTGACTGGATGTAAGCCAGGTTCTTGTGGTCAGTCCATACAAGAACCGGATGCTCAGCTCCTTCCAGCCAATGTCTCCATTCTTCCAACGCCAGTTTAATGGCCAGAAGCTCTCGGTCACCCACATCGTAATTTTGCTCTGCAGAAGAAAGTCTACGGGAGAAGAAAGCACAAGGGTGTATCTTTTGATCTGAATCTAGTCTCTGGGATAGGACTGCTCCAACACCAGAATCTGAAGCATCCACCTCAAGAATAAACTGCTTCGCTGGGTCAGGTTGCATAAGCACAGGTGCTCTGGAAAACGAGGATTTTAATTTATCAAACGCTGCTTGAGCCTCAGGAGTCCACTGAAAAATGCGTTTGACAGAGGTCAGAGAAGTTAATGGAAGGGCGGTCTGGCTGTAGTTTCTGATAAACCGACGATAGAAGTTAGCAAATCCTAAAAACCTTTGTAGCTGTTTGCGGTTCTCTGGAACTGGCCAGTCTAATACTGCCTTAATCTTGTCCTCAGATGGTTTTACCTGGCCGCCCTCGAGCACAAACCCCAAAAAGGTGACTGAAGGTTGATGAAATTCGCACTTCTCGGCTTTCACGAACAGCTTGTTCTCCAGCAGTCTCTGCAAAACAAGGCGGACATGTTTCTTGTGTTCATCGAGGTTCTTGGAGTAAATGAGAATGTCGTCAATGTACACGAAAACAAATACATTGAGAAAGTCTCTGAGAACATCATTTACGAGGGCCTGGAAGCAGGCTGGAGCGTTAGTTAGACCAAAGGGCATTACTAGGTATTCGAATTGGCCCAAGGGTGTTTTGAAGGCTGTTTTCCATTCGTCGCCTTCACGGATCCTAAGGAGATGATAAGCGTTTCTTAAATCCAGTTTAGAAAACACCGTAGCTCCCTGTACAGGTTCAAACGCAGAGGCAAGGAGAGGAAGTGGGTATTTGTTCTTAACTGTAATCTGATTCAAACCTCGATAATCAATACAAGGTCTCAGGGAACCATCCTTCTTCCCCACGAAGAAGAACCCGGCGCCCAATGGAGAGGAAGATGGACGGATTATTCCAACAGCTAATGATTCGTTGATGTATTTTTCCATGGTTTCTCTTTCGGGCTTGGAAATATTATACAATCTGCTGCTAGGAAGAGGAGCACCAGGTAAAAGTTCAATGGCGCAATCGTATGGTCTGTGTGGAGGTAGGGACGTCGCACTGACCTTACTGAAGACAGGGGCTAAGTCATGGTACTCAGAAGGAACTGAAGAAAGGTCAGGAGAGTCCATCTCCCCCCCACCTCTAGGAGACCCCACCAAGGGGGCAGCAGAACGAAGGCATGTTTCATGGCATGAGATGGACCATGATTCCAGGTGACGTTCAGTCCAGTTAATGTGAGGATTATGCTTCTCCAACCATTCGAAACCGAGCACCAGCGGGGAACATGCAGAGGGAAAAACAAAAAATGTTATAGTCTCTCGGTGGTTACCTGACAGAAGTAGCTCGAGGGGCTGAGTTTGATGGGTAACTTGATGGAGTCTTTTTCCGTCAATAGCGGATACAATGAGAGGCTGAGTCAGAGGAATGGTTTCAATTTGGAGTTGCTGGACGAGGTTAGAATCGATTAGGTTACGTTCACAGCCTGAGTCGATGAATGCAGAAAAAGAGAGGTTTTGATTAGCACAGAACAACGTGGCAGGAAGTAACAGTCGAGGAGATTTCTTAGAGTTTATTTGGCCCGCCAGACTCCTCAGATCTTCTGACGGGCCCAGGCTTTTGATTTAGCCGGGCAGGAAGCGATGAAGTGTCCTCTTTCACCACAGTAGATACATAGTTTGCTTAGAAAACGCCTTTGCCTCTCCTCTGGAGTGAGCCTAGTGTGTCCCACCTGCATGGGTTCGACATCCCTTTCGCTCGAATGAGAGGCCTGAATAGGCAACGGAAGAGACTGGGACTTAGGACTCTGAATGGGCAGCTGCTCTGTAGAGGAAGAACAAACAGTCACGTTATGTGAGGCAGAAGAAAGTGTACCCTGCTTCTTTGAACTGTTTCTGGCACGAATTCTATTATCCAATCTAATGGAGAGGCAAATTAGATCTTCGAGGGTAGCTGGTTCGTCGAGGGTGCGAGCTCATCCTTAATGTGCTCATTTAATGCCATGAAAAAGGCTCCCTTTAGAGCGCTTTGGTTCCAGCCGGAAGCTGCCGCTTTAACCCGGAAGTTAATGGAAAATTCAGCCACCGAAGAGTTTCCCTGTTTTAGGTTGAAAAGAGCTCTGGAGTCTATAGTTTGGTCAGTTTCCTGGTTGAATACCTGGGTAAATTCAGAGATGAAATCAGAGTAATAGCAGTTTAAGCTATCGTCGGCGGTAAATCTTGCCTGAGCCCATTCGAAGGCTCTTCCTGTTAACTGTGAGAGAATGAAAGTTATCTTCTTGTAATCCGTGGAAAAGCTGCCAGGGGAGTTCTGAAAAATCAATCGACATTGAAATAAAAATCCTTTGCAATCTTTCATGTTACCAGAAAATCTTTCTGGAAGGCTAGGACGGAACTCTGATGACGTCACCGCAGGAGACCTCGGAGGAGGAACTGGACCCGGAAATGGTTGTTGTACCGATGCAGCATTAGCACTGTTCATGAAGTTAGCATAGCTTTGAATAGCTTGATTTTGTCTTTCAATGTGGGTGTTTAACTCACGTAGAGCCAGGCCGTGTCCATGGATCTGGGCCGCCTGTTCCTCTAGTCGACGGATGTAGTGATCTGCTGGGCCTTGAGTTTGGCCGCAGTGTTCTGTCATGATGGGTTCACTAAAAGCGACCCAAGAATGCAGAACACCACTGACGGACTCAGGGATGAAAGTTTAACAAGTTTATTGATGCATAAGCACGCAGAATATACTGGTTCAGGTTCGGGGCCTGGATACTGGTTCACCGGAGTCTGCGTGAGAGACAGTTCAGTTAGCGTTGCCAACAGAGGTTTGATTTCCTGAAGTTTACTGATTGTACCTTGAGGGTTCTTGAGGTTAGCTTTGGGAGGGTCTCTGTTGGATCTGGAGAAGAGTTTATCAGCAGAGTCCGTTTGCTGCTTCAGCGTCTCACGTCCAATATGAACAGACCTTGGTTTAGGGTTTCCCAGCTCTAGTCCAGAGCTGCTTGGAAGTTCTCTGTGATTCTTCAGGTTTGGCTCAGAGGGTCGGCTCGGCAGGTTAGCTCTTCCTGAGCTTTCACAGAGGAGGCACAGGTTTCCTGGAAG